GCCATGTGCCATTGGCAAATCGGACCATTATTTTTCAATTTTGTATGTTCTCGTTTTGTCATCCGTCATTTTTAATAAATTTATCTCGTAACATTGAAATAAATACATTCTTAAAGTAAAGATTCCAAGCTTTATTTTCATTTTTTAAAACCCTTTCTATCTTTATTATTTACAAAATTATCGTCACTTAAAGTTTGACTGTTTTTTTTTCCAAATTTTAAGTGTACCGCTTTTTTGAAGTAAGTACATATATGTACATATATATATATATATATATATATATATATATATATCGGTTAAAAAATCGTAGACTTTTGTGGATTTATAACTCCCCATACATATAATCCTATTCTCGATCTTTTTTTTTCACCAAAACTCTGACTCGCATTTTTCTATAACTTTATCGTTATCAGACATATTTGCCCGGATGAGAGAAAGAGAAGAGAGATTCGGATATTTTCGCCATGTTACCGCGAATATCGGAAACAATCCGACCATTTACAGGGTAAATTCAATCAATACCTGTCCGATGCGCGCGGCGCAGGACACGTCTTATATGGCGCGACACCGGGTGCTTTTTGCCATGGCGTTACGCCGCCATAAATCGCGGCCTATGATGGGCTACATGTGTCGACGGCACGCCACGGTTTCTTGCGAAAACGTGAGCCGCGACCCAATGGGTCCCCCCGTGATTTTTACATCTTGTTTGCTTCCACAAGCGGTGCCCCGTTCTCGTTCCCGCGGGTCTATATGGCGCACCGTGTTACTTCGCGGTCTTCGAGTTCCTCGAGACTGTTCTGCCTGTTCTCGGCTTCTCTTTGTCTCTTCTTATTTTCGTCGAATATCGCCAACGATATCCAGGAATGAAAATAAAAGCGAGAGGAATATTTTAAATGTTGAATTTTTTTTTAATATTCGTGTAATTTCTTTTATTTAGAGATTAATTAAATTAAATTGCACCCCTGCATATTCTCTCCAGAAACTCCGTATATATATATATATAGATGTATGTACGTGTGTGTATGAAATATAGTAACATATAAATGATTATATTAACATCGCTTAAAGCAGCGCGATGTATCTTTGTGGTTGCATAATGCTTATCATCCTTGGACAAACAACTTAATTTTCTGTATGTCCGTTAAGAATAATAGCCGTTTTATGGCCATTCTTTCAAAGTCGCGTTTTTCTTCACGTTGACATCTTGAGTCGCTGAAATGACAATCTCTGTCACCCAGCGCAAGTAATAAATTCATCTTTCCATTCTTCATAAACGTTCGTAATGAATCATTGTAAGCGATTTTCAGACGTACAGCCTATCATTTGACATTACAGGCTATCATCTTATGTCTAATGGCTGTATTACGACACATCTACATAAATCATCGTGTCGCCGATATCACGTCATATAAGACCACCATCGCCAGTACCATCGTTTTAAATTCCACGCGTAGGTGGTTGCACCATAACTCGTTCCGTGTCTTCTCGACAGAAAGTCGGACCGCGCGCGACAGTAGCAATAATTCCTAACGATTTTATCTCCATGGAATTTCAGCCGAGACGCAAATGTCCCTCGTAAAGATGCGCGACGATGTCGCTTAGGACAATCTTGAGAACCATGGTCGAAGAGAGATCACGGATATTTGCTCTACATATTCCATTGAGAGACTGAAACGTCAAACCGTTCATCTCACGAGCGATAAACTATCTAAATCAATTAAATTCATTTTTTGATTCAATCAGATGTGTCTGATATAATATGTAACTTGAAACAGGTTTTTCAATTTAATGTTTATAGAAGAAATAATTCAATAATTAACGCTGTGCTTCATCGCGTTGTGTCAATTTTATTTCTTGTCAAATATAAAATAATCTTAAAGGAAAATTTGCGTGAAATTTTCACAATAAATATAATATTATATTAATATATTAATAATAATTATTATATTATATTAATATATTAATTATAATATAATTATTATTAATATATTAATATAATATTATATTAATAATATTAATAATAAATATATGATTATATATTAATAAAAATATAATATTAATAACCCAAATATATAATTACAATTAAAAATATTTATGATCGTATTTATATAGAGATTATCTAACTTATTTTATTTTATGTAAAGATTTCAAAATACCGTTTCAAGCTCGAAACATTCGAAATCAGTCTGCTGTCCCAAATACTGCCGTGTATCGTCAGGGACAGATTCCGGAGCAATGCTCGAACATTATCCAGGAATCCCCATCAATGTTTGCGCGCGTGTTTACCTTACGGGCACACTCTGGCTGCGCCTCCAACTTGCTCATACTATTTGAACGAGTTGATAAAGCCGTCGTGTCGAACTATTTATCGTACGGCGTATCCTCGCACAAAGGACAAACAATCGCGGTACCGGGATCATTGAAACGCGCTTTTTCCCCTTCGTCTGATACTTTCCTCGTCGCGCTCCTTATTTATCTTCTTTTCCTGCGTTTCACTCTCCTATAAACGCGCACGCATGATAACGCGCCGTTATTCTTTCGCGTCTTGAGAAAACGCAATCCCGCTTATCTGCGGACGACAGTCTGATTGTTTGAAAATCGTAAAATCCGTAAAAGTGAAGAAAAATTGAACAGATTGGTTTCCGCGAACTCTTTAACAAGGATGACAATGAGTTTATCGAGGGCGTTCGCCGTCGCCTTGTTCTGACAAACATGATTCAGCTATGTATAGTCAGATATTCTTTTAATATAGTATGCGTTTCCGTTTATTTAATCGAGAAAAAAAGAAAAATTAATTTATTATTATTAGATTATTATTAGAAATTAATTAATTATTAGTAGACATCTGTCTTTCTCTTCTACAACAAAAAATGTATAGAAATGGATATATCGCATAAAATATTAACAGCAAAAATAATCTTATATTAATATAATGGAGAATATGAAGAAAGATTTTTCTTTTCAATAAAAAAAAAAAATATGTCGAAACCTACAGGGAAATAGATTTTATAAGATTTTAAAGTATCTCAAAGATAATAAAAAAATTCTAAAGTTGAACAATTTCGATAACGACATATATTTTTATCACACAAATATTTCTTCCATTATATTCAAGTTCAGATAATAATAAACCCCCGTCGACTTCGTGCATTCTTTCTTGTCAGATAACAATCTATGACAAATCTATGACTTTTTCACTCTCAGTGTCAGTTTTCAGAACAAATAGCGTAACTTGTCTAGGAGTTAACGCGACCACGATCTGTCATGGTAACCTGACACTGAGATAAATAATATCTGGAACTGATCGAATTGAGGATGTGAGAGGAAACGAAGTGACGTGTAATAAGGTGTGACGGCGTAAATCTCTCCGCTTTTCTTTGCCGTTCCTGCTCTCTCGCTTCCGCTAACGTCGCTCTGTATTAAAAGATTAGGGAAAATAATCGTTGTTGCTGCTTTCTTACCTTCTCTTCTTTCTTCTACACGATTTCCTTCTCTCCGTATAGAGATTCTACTACTGAAAAGGGTAGCTCGACGAGATGTCACTGTCGTAACGGAAAAGATACGTGACGAATTTGGAGCTCGTAGTCAGGGTTGATTCGTCACGGATGATCATCCGGTCATCACTATCTCTTGCTAGCCGGAGAAACATCCCTTGCCCGAGGTTGAACGTCTTATTCTCGTATTCTGTCATTTCGATACGCACGCGCGTCCAATCGGTCAAGAAATATTTCTTGCGAGTTCTAATCAGTTACTCCGAAGTTTCCAGTTCGATATCAGTAACGTTAATTGGAGAAGCCAAGATACCAGATTATCGCATTCTCCATAAATACAACATTATTAATTTGTTATGTAAAATATATAATATTTAATTAATTATTTTGAATAATTTTATCGCATTATTTAAATCGTATAATAATTCTTGACTAGGTACAATATTATATAATTTTTAAAACAAAATTAAAAGATATTTGAAAATACATAAAACAATAAAAAAAATTATTATTTTAAAATTTAATTAGAGTGCAATATAGGTACCTTTTCATTAATGGGACATTGCCTTGAAACGATGCGAGCTCGCAATTTACGAAATCGTTTCGTCCGCTCTTCCCTCGTGATATCTTCACCGGCACAAAAGGAGCCGGCATATAATATTTAATTAATTATTTTGAATAATTTTATCACATTATTTAAATCGTATAATAATTCTTGACTAAGTACAATATTATATAATATTTAAAACAAAATTAAAAGATATGTGAAAATACATAAAACAATAAAAAAAATTGTTATTTAAAAAATTAGAGTGCAATATAGGTACCTTTTCATTAATGGGACATTGCCTTGAAACGATGCGAGCTCGCAATTTACGAAATCGTTTCGTCCGCTCTTCCCTCGTGATATCTTCACCGGCACAAAAGGAGCCGGCAAACACCTGCGCCTTATGCAGATAAGGTCGAGGTGCTTCAGGTCAGCCCACTCAGGGTTAAGGTCACGTACCGTCTCCTATCTCTCTCTCTCTCTCTCTCTCTCTCTCTGTCGTTCTTCTCCTCGTTCCTCGCTCGATCCTCTCGTTCTCCCTCGCTACCTTCCACCTGCGAGGACTTCTCGCGCAGGTAGTCTCCTGCCGAGGATTGAGATGTTGTCTGACGTCATCGCTCACCTCCCACACGACCAAACATCGTGAACGTCTTGTCTGCGCTCTCGGCGAGTATAAAAATATTCTTATCGTTTAGTCGAGAGAAGAATAAACGTGGTGCCTACGTCAAGAATATATAGCACTTCTGATGGAGACAAAATCATAACTGCCAAGAGTTGGCTCACCAGAAATTCGCAGAAAAATGCGATATATTGTACAACTTGGTACAGATAAAATTTTTAAAAATTGAAAAGGAAAATAATACATCATTTTAGCGAAAACAACAATTTTCCAACCATGTGGGGAATTTAATTACCAATATAACACGCGTCATATATATAAATTTTCCATAATTTTCTTGTAGGATGCCGAGAGACCGCTTTCATCTATGCCATAACGAGTGCGGCTGTGACTCACAGTATCGCGAGAGCATGTAGCGAGGGCAGCATTCAGTCGTGTTCCTGCGACTACACTCACCAATCACGCACATCAACCGCCGTTCAGGATTGGGAATGGGGTGGTTGCTCGGATAACATCGGATACGGCTTCAAGTTCTCTCGCGAATTCGTCGATACTGGCGAACGGGGTCGAAACCTCCGGGAGAAAATGAATCTACATAACAATGAAGCTGGCAGAACGGTAAGAGAACTAGGACACGTCTTCCTCAATTTCTAAAATCATTTTATACATCTCAAAATATTCTTTAAAAAGTGTTAAAAAGAGTTTAAATCATTTTCTTTATTTTTTATTTACCGTATTCTATTGTAACTTGAGATGAAAATATTTCTTCAATCCTAATATTCAACATTTCTTCATATATTACATTTTTTTCTATTTTGATGAATCGTTGTTAACAAATTTTTATTTCTTATTTTTTTATACTATTTCAAAAGAGGGGTAAATGCCCTTTCTTGCCTCCTTCTGCGGATGTCCACGATTGTTAATCCAAAACAATGAAACAAAAAAAAAATGATCGCGAATATAACAAGATCGATTTGCATTGAGGAGAAGATAAGTTACAGGGTTCCGTCTCGTTACAGCACGTGTCCTCGGAAATGCGTCAGGAGTGCAAGTGTCACGGTATGTCGGGCTCGTGTACAGTGAAAACCTGCTGGATGCGGCTGCCGAGCTTCCGCGTAGTCGGCGATAATTTGAAGGATCGGTTCGACGGTGCCTCCCGGGTAATGGTCAGCAATTCGGATCGCGTGCGCAGTAACGCGCACGTTAACTCGGCGAGCAACTCCGTGCACCAGCACCGCGACGGTCTCACGCGTCGGCAGCGCTACAACTTTCAGCTGAAGCCGTACAATCCGGAGCACAAACCGCCCGGGCCGAAGGACCTCGTCTACGTGGAGAGCTCGCTGGATTTCTGCATCAAGAATCCCAGCCTGGGTATCCTAGGCACCCAAGGGCGACAGTGCAACGAAACCAGCCTCGGCGTCGACGGCTGCGATCTGATGTGCTGCGGCAGAGGCCACAAGACTCAGGAAGTGAGTGTGATCGAGAGGTGCGCCTGCATCTTCCACTGGTGTTGCGAGGTCAAGTGCCAGTTGTGCAAGACGATAAAGACGATACACACCTGTCTGTAAAGCATCGGACTCGGTCGATTTGATATATAGAGGAAATCTCGATCGTTTGCGTACACAGGGTTGACGTCTCGCAAAAACTATGAAAATACAGTAGGTACGTCAAAGACGGACGAAACTATTTTTTCTCTCTAGATCGATAGACTCTCTAGTAGCCTTTCTAGCGGACGACTCGAGGTCTAGCGGAACTCGAATGGGTCCTATAGGTCGTAAAACCCGCGCGAATCCGCGGGGTCTCATCACATTCTCCAGTATTACGCTCGAAACTACATATATTTATTACGTCGCGTGGCGCGTATTAAAGACTGAAATGGTGAAAAGCGTTCGCGCGATCGTAGATTCTTAAGGTTTGTCTTACAGGAAGATTGCGGGATATGCGTGTGGAGGCAGGGTGTAAAGACCGGTGCGAGTGCTGGTATAATAAATACCAGCGTGTCTGGTTCATCACTGTATCCGCAAAAAAAAAAGAAGACTACTGACATCTTAGATGTTACAGTGGTAGAGAAAATAATTTAAGGCTACCATTATAGCACATAAAGCTGTCATCTACTTTTGTTATAGTGGTATTCAAATTCAATTTATCGCGTCTCTCTTTCTTTTATCATCGGTACATCGATTTGCAGATTGAATTACTATTTAATTAAAATTACTATTTTTGTGGGAGGTCGAAAGAAGTATACGAAACTATGATAATTTAAGCGTTGTTAAGAGAAGCCTTTAATTATTTTATCTTACTGCGTGTCAAGTTCATGTTTGAAGTGATCGATTCACAACGCGAGCATCGTGGTTTCGCGAAACATTATTTATTCTAAAGGTATATATTCTTACTGCGGTTAACATTCGCTCCCTCAGAGAAAAATCAACAATCTCGAGTACATAGAAGCGTATTTGTACATAAATAGATCATAGTGATATATTTTGCAGCAATTAGCTGATCGGCGGCCGTAATATATGTACTTCTCCGTAAGAAACTCTTGTAAATAAAAACTTACTTTTACGCGCGCGATGATGAAGATGACATCCGATTGATGTCTCTATTGTGGGTGTAATAAATTATTTTTATATCTTTTTCATTTTTTCTCTCTCACTTTCTCTTTGTCTCTTCGCCTTCTCTGTTTTCTTGTTCTTTTTCTTCTACTGAAAATCGGGATTTCAAGAATTCCGCAGGCTTCAAGATATCTATCACACGATAGAAATGCTGAATAGAAAAACTACTACGAATAAGAAAACGGTGATTCAACTATTGTGCATAATAGATGTATTAATTATTACTCATAATTTATGCAAATAAACATATAAAAAATTAAATAAACGAAATTGAGTTTTTTTATCATGTTGCTCTTGTACCCTATCTGCATCCCCTATTTTCAAAATATATAGTTATTTAAAAATTTCTTAAATCACGACGATTTCTTATTTATATAATGAACAGCGAAATAAACAATCCAACAACATCGGCAATTTATCAAACGACATTTGCTTTGTATCAGAAAATTGTAGCAAAAATAAGATAAAAAATTAATGAATTAATTATTAGCCTTCCCTTAGAATAGACATTTGAAGGAGCGATTGATTTCCCACGGCGGAAAGGCTAAGACACCGTTTCTCGATCGCGTTCTGTCGCGGCGCTATACAATATTTTCCCATTACACGATGCGCGCCGCCGTCGACGTATCCTCGCGAAATGTAGTCAACTGGTTCTCCAGCTGGACGACTTCATAACTCCTGATGCCGAGCGAATGTCGTGGGAGGCCCGCGCCGAGGACTGGTTTGGTTCTCTCTCTCTCTCTCTCTCTTTCGATCTTCCTCTCTCGCTCTCCTTCTTCTTTCTCATCGCGTTCCTTCTTCCTGCATCCTTGCCCTCTTCGCCGTTCGGCGAATGCTGCACGCGATGATAACGAACGTAGGAATCCCGCAGGAATCTCCGCGCGGGATAAAAGGACCCTGACCGCATACGAACAGGCATCCGCGCTAATGGTACCAACACTCCATTGCCGACCTACCGACTCTTTCTCTCTCCCTTCCATTTCATCTTTTTTTTCCACGCGCTCTTCCTCCCGATCCACCTTCCGCCGCAGCTTCCTCTTTCTGTGTTATATCTACCAACAGGTAGATCCATCGGTTCCTTTCTCTTTTATCCATCATCCACAGATGATATTGTCCTGAAATCTGGAAATATATTCCAAGATCTTTCGAATCAATTAACATATTAATTATTTTTATCCTTTCGTTAGATCGAAGTCTCGTGATATGAAATATAATTTCGCAATCACAACTTCCGTTATCGAATCCTAAATTGTTCGTTACAGCGAGATGCAAGACTGAAGTGGAGAAAAATACGGACGAGAGGGTGAAGTGTACCATGATAGTAAAACAAATTCTTGCCACAAGAGAGAGAGAGAGAGAGAGACTCTCTGCCAGAGCGTCCAAGAGCAGACAAGAATCTCGGGCAGCCGGACCACTTCTCACGGCGGTCCCTTTGATCTTACTTGACCCACCCACCCTTCTCGGTCCCCTACCTCGAGCAGCGGACACCAGCAGCCTCTCCAACCTCTCCCTTCCTCGCAAGGTTCGGGTTTTTACCCCCGAGCCACCCCAACCCTCTCTTGACCTCCGCGCATTCTCAAAAAGCACGAGCGCGTCTCCCGGAGGCGAGACACGAGCTCGGAATTCATTCAGTGTTACTATTATTACGCATACCGTCACGCGTGCGGTTCGTCTCAGTCCGCGGAATGTGATCCTGGATCCCGACGAACCTGACCGACGGATGTCGGCCTAATGAAGCAAACGTCTGGTAGGTGGACGGATAAATATGACGCGCCGTTGAAGGATTCTTCCGCGGTTCTCGAGTCCTGACGAAGCAGCGCGTGCCAAATCCGAGTGTCCTCCTCGCGATCCACGGATTCCATCATCGATGGATTCGCCCGCGTGACAAAATTTATCTATATTTATTCGAGAAAAAAATGACACCTTTTCTACCTTAAAAATAGACATTCTCACCTCTACTTCAATTCTTCCCCGAAATATTTTTCTGTTTAACATTTTCTTTCTATGATGTTTTTCAAATCGGCCAACAGAGCCAAAGCCACAAAAAATTAATTATTCGGAACTGTATCTCTTGGTTTGAGATCACTAAGTTCCATATATAAATTAATCTCGAAACTTAACATATGGAGAAATAGGCGCGATTTTCGTGCTTTGGCTCTGTTGGCCGATTTGAAAAACATCATATTTATATTCTTAATATTGAGAGCCGATAAAAATATATATCTTTCTGATTTTCTTTCTATTTAACATTTTCTCCTAGGAAGGGAAGACGACCGAATTCAATATAAAGGTGTTGAAGTTGAATAGGTGGATCGCAAAAATTGGAATGGCAATTCCAACTAATTGGAAATAAAGTGTGCCATCGCGTCATCGACACCTCCCATCGGCGCTCCTTTCGCCGCTTTATCGCAGCTTCAATCTTTCGCATGGTTCCCTCGCCGGCGAAGAGCGATCTCTGTCTCCGACGCCGCGATCTGATAGAGGCGACGAAAACATTTAGAGGTTATAAGAGCCCCCGGGACGATAAAATCGGGGTAGCCAGGCGGACGGAACGACACGCGGCGTGTCGTGCACGAACACACGCGCGTGGCATCCTGATGGTCCGTCTCCTCTTCAAGAGGAGCCACGCGGAGCCACTCCGATTGTCGTTCTCGTGCTGCGGCATTTCGTATTCTCGAAGCGCAAATCGGATACAGCCACTATATATAGAGGATTCCTCGCTCATTACTGCAAGACTCTTTGCTCAAAAACTCCACGTTTCATCTCTTATTAGCATTTCTCAGATCCGATTCTAATGTTACTGTCGACGTAACTTTCATTTGAGTATACCTATTTTTAAAAGATTTAAAAAACTGTGAAGTCACCAGATGATAATTAAAAAATGGTAGTAATTTAATCGACCAATCTGGCAAATAAGTGATCTTTATTCAATATTCACAACGTTTCGGCCCTTATCAAGTGTTATAATATATAATAATGACAATTATTAGAAAATTAAAAATTAAAAAGTAATAATGTAACTATGATAAAACAATAAATATTTCCACACATTAATATGTAAACCTACCTAAAACACAACTTTTTTAAAAAACCTTAATTTTTGATCTTAGAATGTGACAAGATATAATACAATGATAATGTGAAACAATTAACTATATTATTGTGTCGGTGTCCTATTTTTAAATAACGTAATTTATTTTGATTAACTGTAATGAGAATTTTATCACTCCGTTCTATAATGCTTCGACCGAAGAGATCAAATTATCCTCTAATCGTATATAGCTTCTTCTATTTTCCAAGAAATGATAAATTTGAAGCTTGTACAAAGCTAAATTAGTAAGTGAAGATATAGACTATAAATTAATAAATTAATATCCCAAAAATGCAATGCTTCAAATAAACGTCAATCAAGAATAAAACTGTAGTCATTAAAAAAACCTCAACAAATATATGGATTCTATTTCCCAAGAAATGATAAATTTGAAGCTTATAAAGTTTGAAGCGTATAAAGCTAAATTAGTAAGTGAAGATATAGACCATAAATGAATAATTAAATATCCCAAAAATGCAATGCTTCGAGTAAACGTCAATCAAGAATGAAACACTGTAGTCATTAAAAAAACCTGAACAAATATATGGATATATACATCGCAAGGAAAAACGCGATGAAGAAATCGAAAGAGACTGGTCCGACGAAGTTGAGGATTTTGGTGTCCCTCATCGTTCCACGAGATATCTGTCGCTCTTCTTGAAATGATTCCCGATAGAAAAAAGGGAATTACACGCGCGTAAATCAACAAATTTATCGTTTTTGCGATCGAGCCGAAGGTGGCCCATCGTTCTCGTCGTCCACCGGGATGCAGGAATGGCTGGAATCCCCTTTGGCGGGGACCTGGGGCTCGTCCTCGTAGCCCATCCGTGGGAAAGGATATATCGGCTAACGTTTCGGGACCACACCGTCGAATTATCGGCGTTTTGGCATGTTATAAGGCGCATCTCCCGGCGAAGAGCGCGCTTCTACCTATCCCTACCTTCTGGCTTCCTTTCGCTTCCTCTTTCGATCGTTCCTCCTCGGGCTGTCCACCTCCGCGAAACCCGGCAAAGGGAATCTCCGGCGGAATCCGCGTCTCCGACGACTGTGGGAACGAAAAGCAACGTGTACCAACGTGTCGGTCGACACCCGGATTCCTTTCGTATTCCTTAGCCTTCCGCTCTCCTTCTCTCTTTTTCTCCGTCTCAATTGCTGGATCTATTCCGGTACCTAGTCGTCTTCGGTTGCCTTGTGCGACGTTCAGAATTATTAGCGGATTAAATGTCGAAAATATGTGAATTTATTGTGAGGACAGTATTTGTAGAGAGGATCGCGAGATTCGGTTGATTCCGAATGATCGCTCTGATATTCTGACGTTTACAAAATTGTCTTATTAACTTTTGAAATTTTTGAAGCAAACATTAATTATGATATTAAATATGTATAAATAATGAAGAAGTACGAATGTAATTAACACGATAACAAGATTCGTCTTCGGTTGCCTTGTGCGACGTTCAGAATTATTAGCGGATTAGATGTCGAAAATATGTGAATTTATTGTGAGGACAGTATTTGTAGAGAGGATCGCGAGATTCGGTTGATTCCGAATGATCGCTCTGATATTCTGACGTTTACAAAATTGTCTTATTAACTTTTGAAATTTTTGAAGCAAACATTAATTATGATATTAAATATATATAAAGAAGTACGAATGTAATTAACACGATAACAAGATTCAAGATCAGATCCTGTCACGAAGAGGAAAGAAAAAATATTTGCAAAGCGATTGTAATTTTAAATGAGAATTTAATTTCGAAAAAAGACGCCTACGAGCAAAGAGAGAAATGTCTCTATGGGAAGTTCAAGGATGTCTATGTAAAGAAAAATGTATTTTGCGAGGCAATTCTAAAGAGACGACACAATCTTGCCTGTCACAAAAAACTCAGTGCTATTCTCGCTCTTTCATCCATGACGGTCGCAGCAAGTAAGTCATTGAAGAACACAACGGACCACCCT